TGTCAGCCCATCATACACATTATTCTACCGCATCCTCACCACGCTCCTGGAGAAGAATCTCATTTTTAGTCCCATTTCACACACAGGGGACCTGAGGCTCAGGGAGATGAAGCTCCTTGTCCAGGCTATACAACCAGTAACAAGAGAAGAGAGAGGATTGGAACACAGCTGGCCCAGCATTGGAGGCTGGGGATGAGCACCAGCCCTTCAGTACCCTTTTAATTTTCACTTTGCCACCAGGATGTAAGCACAGGTTTGTTTACCCATTTTACAATAAGACAGGTGAAACCTGGGGCTAACGCCAGGTCCTAGCTCACTACAGCACACTCAGCCTCCTGAGCGGTGTTCCTGAGGTGGGTAAAACTTTCTTCACAAGATTTTGACACAGCCATCAGTTCTGTGCCCACAGCCAGGAGAACAGGGATCTCTGATGTTTGCAGAACTGGATGCAGACAGCCTGGGAGTTTAGTCTGCTGATGGATGGCTGGATGGGGTCCTCCGCGTCCCAGGTCCAGGCTTGGGCACCTGGGCTGTGCTCTGGTGGGGGGACCACAGTAAGCATGAGAAAAACTAGCTCCCCAAGTTTCTGGCTATATCCCTACTTTGTCTTGGCTGCATTCGTGTCAAGGACAGGGCTATAGGTCCTTGCTGAGAGGCCAATGGACAGACGGAGGAGACTGACCCTGGGTGACCTAGAGCTCTCTACCGGTGCTCCCAGCCTAATGCCAAGTGGGCACCCGTCTGGGCTTCCTGGACTGTGTATTCCAGGTTGACATACGCCCATTGCACCACGCGTTACAACCAACTCAAACAGCAAAGGTTAAGGAATAAACAGGATATTCAAGCCCAAGACTCTCCTGCTCCGTCAGCTGGCCTTGTGATCTGGCTGAAAGGTCCTTCCCTGGTTATGCAAGTACTGATTCTTGTCCTTGTGCGACCTGGGAGAGTCACCCTCCTTCCCTGCACCTCAGTTTCCCCAACTGGAAAATTCTGCCTCTGTACCTCCTCATGGGATAGTTGTGAGCACCAATGGTGAAAGAAGACCTGCAATGCCAGGCCCAGGGTCAGGTACTTGCCTGCACCTACTGGGTGCTGGGCACTTTGGCCAATGAGTGTGACTCACTGCGGTTCTCAGAGGCTGAGAGTTGGAACAGCCAATGTCCATGGGAGAGGTTGCAGAATGGGGTGCACTCTCTAGCTCTGCCCCTTCCCACCAGTGTGGCCTTGAGCAAGTCATCCTGCCCTTCTGAGCCTCATGTTCCCCAGCCAGGAAATGGGGCAATAACACCCTTGCCTGGTTCCTGACTAGATGAAACAAGATAAAGCAGGATAAGCATCTAGGTTTGTGAGGGTCATATTTAGGCAGAGTAGTGGTTCCAGGGGATGGTGAAGGTGTCACAGTTTTTAGAACTCAAGGTAGAAAGTACCTTTGAGCCACTAGTCCAGTTCTTCCCATTTCTAACCATCCACCCTGAAGCCCCTGACGCTAAGTATCTAGGGAGGGGCTCAGGCATCTATACTTTCAAACATACTTAATGCATCATTTAAAAAATAATCTTTTTTTAAGGACTATTGCCCAAGAAGAAAATTTCAACAAACTTAAAAGATATGAAATGAAAGGGGAAAATAAGTTGGGTTCAAGTCACCTGTAGCTTGGACGAGTCCTTCTCCTTCTCTCAGCTTCAGGTGTCCCAGACTTCCTCAGCAAAGAGGTTAGGTTGATGAACTCTGAGCTCACCTGTGGCTTTAATGTCTGTTTTGTTCCCAGGGTGGTTTTGTGACTCTCGAGCAGTCATCAGAAGGAAGGAGACAGACCTGAGTCTACAAATATCTTAAGTCATGACTTACTATGGATTTGAATGGAATCCAAATACTATGGAACTCACACTGGCTTTACCAAAAATAAAAAATATAGAGGGAGAAATGTATTTGAACTGGAAACTCCTGGGCACAGAGGACTTCAGGAAAAGCTGGATTAAGGCACTAGAAGGCACACTGTCTCATTCCCTCATTACGGCTTCATTCTCTGATGAATTTACTGGATATTTGTATCTGTATAAGTTGTATCTCCAAGAACAAAATCAGACCCAGGCAATCTGTGGAGACCCAAAGGTTGCAAGTGACACTGAGAACATGGTTCCTTAGAAAGAAGAACCTTTGAGATACAACTGTGCCAGCTTCAGGTCCACCCCCAGGGACCAAGTATACCTGATCCAATTCCAAAGCATCTCTGATGATGGAGCCCTCACCAACTTCTCAGGGAATGGATGGCTTTATAGGACGCTCCAGAGAGGTTTCTACTAAAAAAATATAGTCACAACCTGAAAGCAACGAGTTATTTTATTTGGTGGGAATGTTTAGGACATGAGCCTGGAAGACAGCACCTCAGTGGTTCTGAGAAAACTGCTCCAAGGAGGTGGGAGAGGGAGTCAGGCTATACACAAGTTTGCAACAAGGGAGCAAGCAGTCCGAACATCAAAGATTATTGTGGGGTAAGAAAAATCAGATATCAAGTTGAGGAATTTAGCATTCTATGTATGAGAAGATGCAACCGTTGGGCTCACTGAATTCATTCCTTTCATGTGCATCTCAGCTATCTGGGGCCAAATCCTGTTTCCTTGTTCACCTCAAGGAGTGGCTGTCAGACGGCTGCTTCTTGTATTCCTCTCGAGCTCTTCACTGTGGGCAGTGGCAGAAACGGCTTGATCGCAGGCACTGTGTTCTTTGAGCTGAGCTCAAGGTAGAAGGGAGGGACCACTTCAGGTGCACATTCACGGAGGTTGTGAGGTGATGTTGAGACCACAGACAGCTGGAGAGGAGAGACAGGGAAGAGGGAATGGCCTGTGCAGAGGCCTAAGGCAGCAAAGAGGCTAGCATGTTTCTGGAACAGAAGGAAGAGAGCAGGGACCATGGAAGGAGCGGTAGGTGGGTTTGGAGGGTCAGTGAGCAGATGACACAGGGGTCATGATGGGGATGTTGTTTTGAAGCTGAGAGCTTCAACCTCTGGCCACCTCATTGACAGCAGACGAACTGGTGGCAGCTCCACACAAGGACGGCATCACCGGCTCGATGGGCATGAGTGAGTAAAATCCGGGAGCTGGTGATGGGCAGGGAGGCCTGGCGTGCTGCGATTCATGGGGTCACAAAGAGTCAGACACGACTGAGCAACTGAACTGAACTGAACTGAACTACACAAGGATAGTGCGTATATGAGGGTATATATGGAAGCAGATTTTGTTCACTCACGGAAGGAACTCTACTGACTAAATGGAGTGGCCCGGGGGGAGGGTGGTCCAGAAAATGCATCATTGCAAATATTTATCCTGAGGCTGATTCCACCGTGAGGGATATTGTGGAGAGCACTCAGACACAAGAGAAGGTTTGGGAAAAATGGCATCACTGGTCACAGACTCTGACTCCATAAGCCCACAATACTAGTCCCATCACTGTCCCTGTGTAACTGGGTGACTTCAAACTGGTTGTTTTCCCTCTCTGAGCCTGAGTTTCCAAATAGTGACAGAATTAGCCTGGCTGATCACTATGGGTCCTTCTACCACAATGTTCTCCAATTCATCCATTCTCAGTCTTGATCCCAGCCCCCCATCTGTATGGCCACCATCTTGGCAGTTGGAGGCTCCATGAGAACCTGCTCTTAGTCTTGGCACAAAGTCCTCTCTATATCTATCCATTCCAATTCAAGCATCCTGGGTGACCTTTGCTTTGGAAACCTCTGTGTTCACTCTGGACAGGGCTTATTTTCACTGGAGTCCCCTTGGATGGCTCTGGACCCAGGGCTTGTTTCTGGGGGCAGACTCCCAGTCCATCATAGAAGGGCCATCACCACCCAGCAGAATTCAGGAGACTATGCAAAACAGCAAGGATTTTGTAAGTGTTTTTCTCCAAGCCTATGAATGGTGGGCATCCCCCTTAATGTCACTCTTCATGGAGGCCTTCCAAAGGCTTTGGGGGCAAGAGGCAGAGGGATAGAGTAATTCAGTTAGCTACTATTTAATAGAGCAAATTGAAAAGTAGCTTATATGAGGAGAAGTCTCAAACTGATGAACTATGCAGGGTCATGATGTGGTGTCCAATGATTTGCTTACACTTTTATTCAGCAAACTTGATTTTGTTGTGCTCTACTAGGAGCAGGGTTTTTGTTGTTGTTGCTGTTGTATGTTTTTACTATGTGTAATGAATTCAACAGTGAAACAAGTCACAATCCCTCTTCTAAGGGGTGCACAGCTTGTTAGGAAAGGCAGCCAAGTCATCACTAATGAGTACCCGGGGGCAGCAAGATCACCATCTCCACTCCACCAGTGGACTCCCTAACCTAGGCCCTGGGGAGTCGTCTAGAGTGGGCTTCATAGACATCATGATGTAATACTAAAGCTAGAGAGTCAGTAGGAAGTGGCCCGTAAAAATGAAAAGAAGAGGGAAATGATCCAGGCAGAGAGGCAAGCATGTGCAACGGACCTTTAGTAAAGAGCAGTGACCTGGAGTCAAGCATGACTGTTCAGATAGTAGCTCCTCCACTCATTGGCTGTGCCGCTCTGGGCAGATTGCTCTAGCTTTCTGACCTGAACTGCCCGTCTGGAAGAGAGGAGATAACCACGTCTGTCTTCAAGGTCTGTTGAGTTCTAGGTGCTCATCAAAGATCCCATTTCCCTACGGGTAATTCTCACTCCTGATCCTCCCATGACTTTCCAGGTGTCAGGACAAGATGCTCCAGCTTTGAAAACTTGTTCTCTTGTGCGTGGCCTGCTCGTTGGGACCTCAGCATCTCCTCTTGGCAATCTTGGCAGGGATGTTCTGAGGAAGCTGAAATCTGGTCTTGAGAAAGGACTTGACACCTTTGACAGTACACGTGAAAGTGAGTCACTAACAGATGATCTGTGACACCTAGGAGCTTGCCACCTAAATCCTATGCCTGTGTTAGCAAAGGCTGCCGGCAGGGGCTGCTCCTTATGGTGGTTTACTGGCAGGTGGCTAATTGGTTCATGGTTCATTTATTTATTATTTTTCTAGAAACAAGCAATATTTAACTCTGTATCACTTTTCATCTTATATCTTGGTTAACTTTACTAACATAGTCATAGGATACATTCCTAAAAGTGACATTTCATAAGTTCAAATGGTATGCACACTGTAAATTATAGCAGATGTTGACATATAATCCCCTATGTTAAAATTTAGTCCAATATAGTGTAAGAGTACCTTTTTTCCTACTTCTTTGACAGCACTGGTATGGAGAACTGAAATATTTTGACAATCTCATAGATAAATGGGTTATAAATCATTTCAGCATTTGCCTAATTAGGAAGGCATTCACTCATTTTTTTCATATTTTATTATCCACTTATGTAATTTAACTTAAATATCTTATTTAAATTAGTAGCATATTTTTCTGTTGGGTCATTCAATTTTCTTAGTAATTTGCATTAACTAATTGGAGGATTCCTACCTAGCCTGCTGCTGCTGCTAAGTCACTTCAGTCATGTCCAACTCTGTGAGACCTCATAGATGGCAGCCCATCAGGCTCCCCCATCCCTGGGATTCTCCAGGCAAGAACACTGGAGTGGGTTGCCATTTCCTTCTCCAATGTATGAAAGTGAAAAGTGAAAGCGAAGCTGTTCAGTCGTGTCCGACTCCTAGCCACCCCATGGACTGCAGCCTACCAGGCTCCTCCATCCATGGGATTTTCCAGGCAAGAGTACTGGAGTGGGGTGCCACCGCCTTCTCTTTCCTACCTAGCCTAGGTAGTTTTGAAATTACCTACCTTTCTAGTTAATCATATCACCTTGTAAATTCAGATTTCTTGAAAGAACTTGGCCATCTTTTCCATTTTCTGGAAACATTACCAGCACACTGACAAATATGCGAAACTAATTTCTATATGTGACTGCACTTCAAACCTTGCCAGGGCTTAGGCAGCCTTAAAGATACAGAAGGGACCCACTTTCCAATATCATTGCTGGTAAAACAGCTCAGAAGCACACGTGTTTGGATTAAGGTCACCTCCTAAGTTATATGACCAGATGTAGCTTCCACCTCTGTTTTCATTGTTATAATTAGGTAGATACTGTCCATGGCAGAGCCATGTTGCACTGCTATGATTACATATCTTTTCTTGGAGCTTTTTGTTTTCCCTTGAGCTAGCTGTCATCTTGTAGTTTCTCATTTGAATTATTTTCTACACCTATATTCTGAACCCTGTCTGAACTATATTCTGAACTCATATATTCTACACCTGTATTCTGAACAATATTCTGAACTCATATATTCTACATCTATATTCTGAACTCATTCTACATCTGCCATGTCACTTCCTCTATTAAATCCCTGTTTTCTCTGAAAGAAACCCCATTAAGACTCTCTGTCCTCCCACTCCTGAATGAAGTACTGCTTTCTAGGCCTGCTGCAAAGATACAATAACCAGGGATTCCTACTTGTCACTTTAATGATTTGGAGTTTTATGTTCCCTTTGATTCTAGATTTCCATTTTCTTATTTTTTTCTAAGTTTATTTTGTTTGTGTGAACAACTCTTTGGTGCTTCTCTATTAGAAACTGATGTGCAATCAATATCTATTGCCTCCTCAGTGGACTGATTGCTTTGTTGATGAATGATGAGTATATATTAGCATGAAGGCAGCGTACAAAGACAAGGTCTACTAGCTGTGTGGCTTTGGCCCATTTCTTAATCATTTGATCCTTTGTTTCCTTATTTGAAAGTACAGATAATAGTAATAACTACTTTATGGAGGTGTCATAAAGATGAAGTGAAATAACGTAGGCAAATAGCCTAATTTAGTACCATGTGCCTAGGAGCTGCTTCTTAAGATGTGCACCGCACTAAATGGAGATTGTTTTTGCAGTTATCTTTCAGAAATTGAAGGCTGTTTTGAAGACTCTCCAGGAAATGAATACTTCAGAGGAGTTCCAGGAGAAGATCCAGGGAGCTAAGAACTTGTTGGAACAACTCATTTCTGGAATTTTTCAAGTAGTGAACAGGCTTATGGGGTGAGTTGATGCTTCATGTTGGAGATCTTTGTACTCAGAAAAGAAAATACATCTCTTTGGGGACATAAGTTTAATATCAAAGAAATAAAGATGAATGAACCTTGTGTGTTCTTGCAGAGCAGAAGTGATCTGAGGCCAACTCTGCCAGAGCGTGGGAAAATTAATCAGGACTGCAGGGCCTGTCTGGTATCTCATGAGTTGGGGTTTTTTTCTTCTATGATTTCAGGGTCAGGATGAAGTTTCTCTTCACCCTTACCTCTACCTATTTGCTTGTGCCTAGAGGCCCTTCCCAAAGGAATAAGATGCTTCTTCCCTAAAAAACCTGAGTATAAGAGTTTGAATGGCCTCAGGAGAGAGAAAACTCGAGTTCACACTACATAGGGGGCTCCCCACATGACGTTTGGGAGTCAAACAGTTCCGGGTTCAAATTCTTGCTCTGCATAAAACAGAATGAAATGATGTCATTTACAGCCACACGGATGGATGCAGAGATAAGCATACTAAGTGAAGAAAGTCAGACAGAGAAAGCAAATATCATATTATTTAGATGTGGAATTTAAGATATGACACAGATGAACTAATACAAACAGAAACAGACTCATGGACGTAAAAAGCAAATTTATAGTTACCTAATGGAAAAGCAGTGTGGGGGATAAACTAAAAGTTTGGCATTAATATATTCACAATACTATGTATAAAATAGATGGCCTATATGGATTTACTATATAGCACATGGAAATATACTCAATATTTTGTAATAACCCATAAAGCAAAGAATCTGAAATAAAAATACTTCTACATCTATATATGTATCTATGTCTGAATCTCTTTTCAGCACTCCTGAACCTAACACAAGCTTATAAAGCAATTATGCACGTGCGTGTGATCTGTCACTCAGTCCTGTCAGACTGCTTTCAACACTCTGGACTGTAGCCTGCCAGGCTCCCCTACCCATGGACTTCTCCAGGCCAGAATACTGGAGTGGGTTGCCATGCCCTCCTCCAAGGCATCTTCCTGACCCAAGGATCAAACCCACATCTCTTTTGTCTCCTGCATTGGCAGACAGGTTCTTTACCACTAGTGCCACTTGGGAAGCCCAAATCAACTATATTTTCATTAACAGAACGCTGGCTCTGGCACACATTCACCCTTGGAGTCTTGAGGGAAATCACAGCTGTCTGATGCTCACTCTGCCATGCCATCCAACGGAAAGAATCCAACCCCTGAGCATGGCTCTCATGAGACCAAAGCAGGCAAGGTCCATGAGACTCAATTGCTCAGCACAACTCTGGCAGAGAGAAGAGCCCAGCAGTGCCTGCCAAGAGGAATGATAAGGCTGAATTGTGTTTTTCACACAGGGTGAGAATCAGTAAACTGCACATCCTGGATGTCACATTCAAAGTGACTCCTGATGGCAAAGGTTTTAATGCGAGGATCCCCATCACTGCTGAAGTCACCGTGACCCTGTGAGTAGGAATTAGAATCTGAGGTTTGGGAGATGCAGTGCTGTATGGCCAGCAGATCTCCAATCTGGAATCAGGCACTTTTCCACACTGCTGCTTAGTCTCCCAATCTATCAAATAACGAGACCTTTGCAACTCCTACATCGTAACCTTTAAAATGTTGTAAGAAATATTGCCCATAATCAAATCTCTTTTTAAAAAAATTCTCCATGAACTATCTTTCCAAAATCATAGCACTTATCTAATTATAAAACTTGAGAATTGAGAAGACATGAACACTTATAACTCTTTGGCAAAGTTTCCTCCAGCATCATTTTGTCTCTCAAGATTCTCTTTAAAAGGCAGTGACCAGTATGGGCCATACAGCAGTGTACAGTATGTAATGAAGAGCATGTGAAAATTATATGGAAAATATAATTTCTACATATTTTAATTACTTTGAAGATACAAAGAGATAGTAAAATGATGTGTAGGAGTCTTTATAAATTAAAGTGCACTATGACTTCCTCATTCATTAATTATGAGATCTTGAGATAGTTATGTAACTTCTTTATATGATGTTTCCTCATTCTGAAAATAGAGATGACAATGGTGCTTTTTTCTCATGGTATTGTTGCTGAGATTAAATAGATTAATCCAGGTAAAATACTTTTTCTGAAATTCCTAATGTAGCATTTTGCTTAAGAAATGTTAGCTCACTTTTATTTTAATCATCAGAGTGATACTCCATAGAAATTTTGCATAAGCCAGACCCTTGTGGTCAGGAGAAGAAACCCCTAATGTAAGAATATAGCTTCCATAAAGAATACAGACAACGTTGACATTGCCCATTTGTTGTTCAGCCACTAAGTTCTGTACAATCTTTGCGACCCCACTGACTGTAGCATGCCAGGCTTCCCTATCCTTGTTCATAGACATCCCATATAATGCCCACACAAGAGAAAGATTAAAGCAGGTAATGTGAAGAGATTTCTCTACCTCTGTTCGTTGTGGACCTATTTCTCTGCAAGCCTGTGTTGGGTGAGATTGTTGACTTGGCCCTCAACTTGGTCCTCCAGCATCGTGTCAGCGTTAAAACTGATGAAGACACTGGTGTCTCTGAGGTGGTCGTGGAAGAATGCAGGAACTATGAACACAGAATCTCACTCACCATGCTGGGCAGGTCAGGTTCACACATTTCAGCAGAGTGGTGATCACAGAAGAGTTGGATCCCAAAATTTCAGCCCTATTCCTTACCCGGGAGGGAGCAGAGTATGGTAAAGAATAGATCAGATTCTGGAGTCAAGATAGCTTTGCCACTAACTTGTGGTTTTGTAATCAATTTAGCCTCTAGAAGCTTCTGTTTTCACATCTGTAAATGGGGGATGGTAATAATACCTAATTCATAGCCTTCTGTTTTTGGCCAAATGAGAAAATACAAGTGTTTACCATACAACCTGGCACATACTAAGCTCTCAGGTAATGATAATATGCATGCTGACTTTCTGTCTCTTAGTTTTTCCCCTTACTGAGACAGGAGAGTTGATCTCTCCAACCATAACTCTGAATTGCTGAATTTCACCTTTCAGTTTTACCTGTTATTACTTCATACTTTTTGAAACTCTGTTGTTAGATGCCTGCGCATTTCACATTGTTATGTCTACTCAAAGTACTGACCCTTCTCATATTACATAATGTTCCTTAACAATAATAATGATAACAATAATAATTCACTGTGTTTACCTTCTTGCCTCTAGTTAGGAGGGCCAAGAGGAGTAGTAAATACTTCCCATGGGCTATACTTTCAGATTATCCTCAAATTATCCTTTTCCCGCTGAGAAATTCCCAAAATGAGATCTTGAAAACTTAAACATCTCCATTTAAATCATTGATCTCTGGTAACTCACCAAATCTACATCTTAAACTCCGTGCTTGAAAGAGCATGTTTAGCCCAGGGAAGGTGGTGGAAGGAGAAAGGCTGATCTTGGTCCTGGCTGGGAGAGGAGAAAAGGTCTGGAAACTGAAGGCTGGGGAAGGTTGGCCTTGGCAAGAAACAAGGCTGAGGTCCGTGAATCCTGCCTCAACAAGGGATCGGACCACAGGCTGCCTAGACAACCCCCAAAATAAAGATAGGCTCTGCAGCCTACGATCACTTGGAAAGATTGAGATGTAAGTCCAAGTGCCTGAGCTGTGCTGGACGCTGCGTAGCCTATAGCGCCAGGGTATCACCCTGCCTTCTAGGTCTCAGTGTCTGTATCTGTAAAAAGGCATTCCACTCTGCTGTTCCAAACACTCTGGGGGCTTTTCAATCCACTTTAGGTGGAATCTCAGGCACTCTCAGGGCCATCTGGCTCATCTGATCTGGATCCACACCTTTCCCACTCTACCCTAGACCTGCTAGCTTTTGCTATGTGGCTCAGACAAACTCCCTCCACTCAAGATCTGTGCGTGGGCTGCTCAGGCACCTAGGACACCTTTCCTGCATCCCATTTCCATGTATGTCTCATCGTTTAGGGTCTAAAACAAGGTTCCTCCTCTCCTCTCGCTTAAGATTCTCCTCTTGCCCTTCTGAATACCTGTCACAAGTTGTCATTATATATTCAATTGTATGTTTGCTTGATATATTCCTTCAGCCAAAAATGTGTGGAGTATCTGCTCCAGGCCACAGCCACCTTTCTAAAGTCTGGAGAAGTTACTGGTGACTGAGGCAAGGAGCTTGTTCTCGTGGAGCTTAGTCTCTGGAGGGAAAAGCAGACAGGCAAGCATTCAGTCCAGCAGTAAAGAGCCTGCAAGGAATGTTAGACTGCAATCATCCCTGGGCAGAACAGCACACCCGACAGGGCGCTATGACACAAAGCCCTCCTTTAGGCAAGCAGTCACAAGGAAGGGCTGCCCTGAGGAGGTGACAGTTACAAGAGCTGAAGGTGGGAAGGAGACAGGCTTAGGAAAACGTGTTAACACTGGGTTGGCCAAAAAGTCTTTGGGGCTTTTCCATAAGCTGTTACAGAAAACTCCAAACGAACCTTTTAGCCAATATTTAGCCAATATCTTAGGTACCACGTTAGGAGTCACTTGTGCTTTGTTCATCACTGTGTCCCCAGACAGCCTTGGTTCCAGGCACATAGTTGGTGTTCTCTAAATATGCGTTGACAGATGAGTGAAAGGATGACTAGATGGATGGATGGATGGAAGAATGGATGGATGGATGGAAGGAGGAAGTCTTAGGGTTGAGATGAGACTCTCATGAGATATTGGTGTGGGCTGCTGGTCAACCATGGGGTTCTAAGTGATGATCACCCTGGGTAGAGGCTCAGGTTACCTGACTTCAAGGTGCTCCACCATCTTCTACCCTCTTCCCACTGCTCCTGCTTATTTGCTTTGCCAACTTCACCGAGCTTTATCAGTTTCCTCTCTTCTTCAGGCACATTGAACTGCTCAATGAGGTTGTGGGCCTTGTGATCAACCTCACGAATGAAGTGTTATCCCCGGTGATGCACTATGAAGTGAATCCCCCACTGCTGGGGTTGCAGAGCCGGGCCTGGTGGGGGCAGAGGTGACCTTCCCTGTGTAGGCTGTACTCTCTGGACACTTTCCTTTCTGGGGGGCCAACTTCCCTTTGGGCTGTGAGTTGCTACCTGTCCCCCTTTGTTCAGCCTGACCTGGGGAGGAGGTGAGCAGGGGCCCAACATAAGCTGAAATCACTGGGTCCCACACTTGAACCATTTATAATACCCATGGACGGCCAGAAGGCCTTTTTGCTAATATTTTTCTTCACTAAAAACATACTTAATTCATATACATAAAAAATATACATATAATATTTCAGATGCATGTGTATCATGTAAAAAAGTCATATGTACCATGTACCCAAAATTCCAAAGATTTTGTATTAGTCACTCTGGAAGGAGGCTGGGACTCTGGCTTAATTAAAAGAAAAAATAATCCTCCGTTTTACTCTGTGATTTACTGAACTTGAGTCATGCTCAAAGTGTGTTCCTCAGACCAGCAGCACTGACCTCCCATGGACACTCTTTAGAAATGCAGACTCTTAGGTCCTACTCCAGACCTGCTGCTCAATAGTTTGCATTTTATCCACCTCCCCAGGGAACTGTAGGCACACAAAAGTGTGAAGAAACACAAAATCACTTCTGTATCATTTCTACAGCCCCATTTAACTCTATAAAGTTTCAGAGTCAGAGGTCAAGGTTTCTAAGGGTACAGGGCTCTGGAATTTAAAAGTCTAGATTTTTCAAGGTTCTAGGATATTCTGAGGTTTTAGGATTCTACTGTCCTCTGGTTCTCAGATTTGAGCCTTCTAGGTTTCCACTGTTGTAGGATCCTAAGGGTAAGAAGTTCTGAGACCCCCAGTGCTGAGTTTCTCTGTGGGTGGCAGACAGGATGCTCACAGAGGGTAATAACCAGTTCTCTTCCTTCTCCGTCTCTCGTCTCCCTCCTCATCTCCTGACCTCTTTCCTTCCTTCCCTCTCTCCATTTCTCTCTCTGTGTCTCTCTCTTTCTTTCCTTGTGACTCTCAGTTGTGCACACTAGTCTGCAGCCTCCTGGAAAGCCTGGATGCAGATTATGTTAAGAACTGCATCAGTAAGGTAAGTCACAGCCTGGGGAATCGGGGAGGGGGCTCCCTCTGTAGCCTCACAATGGGGTGCCTGACACTCTATGCCTATAGCACCAATAGGTCTGGTCAGGGGACCCTGGAGAAGCTGCAGACCCTTCATCCTGAGCAAGTCTGGAGAGTGTGGCTGGGGGCGGTCCCTGCAGACCGATGGCCTCTGTGGGCCTCTGAGAGCTTCTGCTGCCTTCCTTTGTCAAACTGGCAGAACCTGCTGCCCAGAATAATGTGAGAAAGAGGACGGGCCAGATCTGGGTTCAAATCCTGGATTGGCTACTTGGCAACTGTAGGGTCGGTGTCAACTGGCGCCACCTCTCTGAGCCTTGGGTTCCTCACAGGTGAAAGGAGATTGTAAACGCTGCTGAGCTGATGAGTCGATTTAAAGAAAAAGCAGAAAAAGCCTAGTATCCAGTAGGCATTGTTAATAAACACTGACCCTTCCCTTTGCTTTATGAGGAACTGTGGCTTCACCTCCAGGCCCTGGGGGGCCTTCTTTGACCTGGGTTTCTGGCATGGCTGGGGTTGCTGGGGCTGTGGGCAACAGAAGCAGGGTGAGTGACAGTGTCAGGGACATGAAGACAGTTCTTCTAGAAAATAGCCAAAGGCCCTGGTCCTTGGGCGATCACTCTGTGCTTCACGTAACCATTTCATTTGATCCTTGCAATGATCCTGTGGGTGTGAGTAGTAGCATCATACCCATTTTTCAGAAGAACTAAAGGAAGCACAGAGAGACAGAGTGACATGCAAGAGACCCCATGGCAGTCAGTTGATTGGCTGGAAGGTGGCAGCCACTGGTGGCTGATTTCTATTCAAATTTCCAGAGCTGGAGTTGAGAACTGCTACTGACTTCTTTTTTCAGATGAAATTCAAGAACTCAACAGGGAAAGTAAAGAGCACAGATGAGGAAAACTGCTGTAATGCCCGCCTGCTGGTGAGGATTGTGCTCAGGGCCCGGGGCAGAGACAGCATGAGACCCCCCAAGAGGCCAGAAGAGAGGCAGAAACCAGCTGAGTCTCTCTTCTTTCTCTAGCCGCAGACTGAGCCCTGATCTTGGTCATAGACTGAGTCCTCGCCCTTAATCACGCACCCAGACTGTACCTGATTCTGCTCCCTGACTGAGCCCAAAGAGTCAGACTGAGCTTTGACTCCAGTAGTTGACTGAGCCCTGACAGTGGTCACAGATAAAGACCTAGCCCACATCTCAGTCTGATCCCTGATCCTGATCATACGCTGAGCCCTGAACCCTGGCTCCCCTGGGCCCTGATCAGTCTTTTCACATCGGCCATTGTTGCTAATGTGAGGGGGTGGGAGGGTGAGGGGATGAAGAGGGGTCAGTGCCAGGTGCCAGTCCCTCCCCAAGCCTCGGAGCTCTCAGGGTTTGCGGGAAGCACTCCTGCAGCCATGTCTGGTGAACCCAGGAGCAGGTAAGGTCCTCAGAGTGTCCATGCCTCACACTGGGGTCCCCTCCAGATTGGTTCCCGGGGACGTGACTGAATCTCTGTACCGCCTCCCTCTGGGACGGTCGGTGCTGCCACCATCCCCCAGGAGTGACAACC